GAGGAACCAGGAGCAGAGAGAGGAGGAACCAGGAGCAGAGAGGAGGAACCAGGAGCAGAGAGCATCATGGGTCAGAAAGGTTCTTCAGTTTGATTTTAATCCAGAACTTGTCAGTTTTAAAGAGTTAAACCTGCTCAGGTGTCCAGGTTCTACCAGGTCTCTGCTCCAAAAGTGGGAGTGGAGGTCCGGAGTGACGGTTCCGTCGGCTGAGCCGGTCCCATCTAGAACAAACAAAACAAACAGAACCAGGACTTTCAGGACCTGGACGAGCAGAACCTGCTGCAGACGAGTGGAGAGATAATCTGAATCTAGAACATCTGAACGTCTCTGGACTCCTGACCACCGGTACCTGTCGTATAGAACAAGTCGGACCTCTCCAGGAAGTCCCGGTCCACTTGGTACAGGAATGGTTCTGCCGGTTCTTCCAGCTGACGGTTCTCCACCATGTCCAGCCAGTGACTGTTGTACCAGCAGAACCTTTTAGTCTGGATCCTCCTGCCCCACTCCTCATCTTTCTCCTGAGGAGAGACAACAGCTGCTGGTTTGAAACCTCAACCAGAGGAACCGGGTCGGAACCGTTCTGCTTCCATTCCTCACAGACAGACCCAAGGTTCTGAGTTTTATTCTCAGCTGTAACCTGAACACAGAACCGTGTTCTCTGGTCCGACAGCGGGACGGGAACGAATCAGCTGATCAGTTAATCTGACTTTTATTAATCCAACGTTTTGCTGCTGATGAGGGATTAAAGAACTGTTCTCTTCATCCTTCCTCCCTCCTCTTCATCACGCTCTCTCTCTCAGCTGTTTGTAAAAACATGAGTTTAATTTTAAACTGCAGGATGAAAGGTGGCGGGCGACAGGCAGTCCTTTAATGAGCAGCATGACTCAGCACTTCTTCTGTTTAATGATCCGAGGTGTGTGTGTGTGTGTGTGTGTGTGCGCGTGTGTGTGTGTGTGTGTCCACAGCTCTGCTTTCTCTCTGAACTCCGTGTTCTCCTTCTGACACTCTCCAGAACCACGGAGCAGCTTTCATGTGGCTCTCAGCTCAGAGATCGAACTGATCGCCTCAATGAAACACTTCCTTTAGTTTACAGACACCCCCCCCCCCCCACACACACACACACACACACTGCTCACACACAGCTAATCACTGGTCCGAGGTCCTATTAAAAAAAAAAAAAACTATCTTGGGCATGTAATCTGACAATTACATAAACACTCATTTAAAACACAACAAGCTTCCTAATCTCACATCAGAGCTGCTCCTTCATGTAAGCATTTCCACTTATACCCTTAAAAAAAAAATCTCCGCCCCTAAAAATTCAGTCATGGGCAATTTAATTAAAAACACAAAAATATAATTAAACAGCGCAACTAAACTGCAAATGAGTTTTACAGTTTAAGTGGGTCATTAATAAATTTTTGATTATTTACAATATTGTTGAAAAATATGACGAGAGAAATGTTTGATGGGTAATCATGTATTAAAACAACAACACCAATTTGTCAAAATAATAGTGATCAAAATTTTGCCAATTTACTTTCATTAAAAAAAAAGTCTTCTCATTGAACAAGTAAACAACAAAGAATTGAAGCACAGGAAGGCAGTGGAGATACTGGAGCAGGTGAAGTTTGAGAGAAGTGGAGCTGCTCTACTCACACAGGGAGAGCTGTCGGTCAGGCTACTTCTTGCTGCTCTTTAAAAGAGTCATTGCGTCAACTCTTTACTTATGAAGGTAAACGTAGATGTTTAACAACCAAAATACACCAGAATGAAGGAAATTACATCTACTTTATTCAAAATGTTCTGGGGAAGGACCCCTAGAACTCCCCACATTTGAGTTCCGGCATCGGTTGCTTTACAAACCACACCTGAGCACTGACCACACCTGTCCATCAGCAGCTGATCCGTGGATCTGTTGGACCTTTAAACTCTGAAGCTGACTGTTTAAACGTGAGATCAGGTTTTGCTGCAGACTGATGTGAGACCAGTTTGTTGTCAATCATCTGTAAATCTATGGTCCACCTGAAGTCGATGTGTAAACATCTCAAACGTTCAGGCTCAGACTGAGCTGGACGGTTCCAGTGAACGTCTAACAGCAGAACACGAACTTCTCAGGTGCGTTTCTCTAAACCGACTGATGACAAAGATGGAGGCGGAGACTCACGGCGATGATGTCCAGGGTGTTGTCGCAGACCTTTCGGATCGCGGCATTGTTGTCGTGCATCAGGTCGAGCAGGTAAGCTGCAGCTGCTGCCCGCGGGAGTTAAAGAAAGTAAAGACGTTTGATGACGCCACCAGAATCAAACCCAGCACAGGTTTGTCTCCCGTCTCCACAGCTGAACAAAACATTCAGAAAGTTTAAAAACCGTCTGAATCCAGAGGGCTGGAGAGGATGGACTCAGAAGAGACACCGTCTCTGACGCAGGTGGAAGACGCCGACGTGCAGGGAAGGATACGCGTGTCCTTCACGACGACGTCTCTTGTAGCTTTGTGACAAACCATGTGATAGAAGACGAACAGAATCTGACACACGAACTCGTCGTCCTCCTGTTGGGCTGAGACACAAACAACACGAGCCGCTTACGCTCTGCAGAACAACTCAACAGGTTCCTGAGGTGACCGTTGATCCATCTTCAACTTGTCATTAGAAGAAGGAACCTTCACGCTCACGAACATCAAGATGACGTCCAGTTTGAATTTTAAAATGATTGTTTGTCTGTAAATTAATTAAATTATTTGTTTTATTAAAGCAGATTTAAAACCTCACTGGGACCTGAGGAGCTGCGGGAACACCAGAGTCAACCTGACCCGATGGTTCGGTTCTTACCGTTGAGCAGCTCGATGAGCGCAGGAATAATCCCCGAGTCGGCCAGCGAGGCGGCGCACGAACCGTCCGCGGACATGGTTCCGATCAGGACCACCACCTCCAGGATCAGGTCGTCCTCAGCAGAACCTGACGGCGCAGAACGTTTGACAGGTTCAGAGGATGGACCCTGACAGAACGAGTCAAGAGCTGGTCCAAGGGGACACACCTGGTCTGAGGCGGTCCTTCAGGTACGGCACCAGGCTGTACTCCTCCAGCACCAGGGCCCAGTCCAGGTCTGGGATGGTCAGGTTGGCCAGCGTTCCCAGACACTCGATCACAAACTCTTCGTCCTCGTCTTCGCTGATGTGAGCTGCCAGCTCTCCGACGTGGTCCTGTGGCCAGGCGGACGGTAAACAACCACACAAACACATTTCAGATAAAAAACTAGATTTTTTTGGTCAAACTTTAGTTTCATGAAACGCATCAAAGATCCAAACTTGTGTCTTCAACACCGGGACTCGTGTTGTCATCTTAAAGGTTCAGACTCTGACCACAAACAAGCTCCTGGTGGGTCCACTGTGCTGAGAAAGGTTTCTGATCATCTTCATCAGCAGAGCATCCTTCAGCTTCAGGGCCCTCTTCATCAGCACCTGCAGTCCGTTACCTGCGGAGAGCGGAGCAGGTGGTTTAAAGGGACGCGGCGGTTCCTCAGGAGGCTCCTCTGCAGCTCAGACCTTCACAGAAGAGCTGAGCGTTGCTCCTGTCAGCAGCCAGGTTGATGCAGAGCGAGAGGAGCTCCACGGCCATCTTCTCCTCGCCGCAGTCACACACCATCTTCATCAGCTGATGACGGGACGAATGAAGCAGAAAAACAATCGTTCTGCTGCTGACGTCAGAGGAGCAACACGTAAAACCATTTAAAAAGGAGAAGCGTAGAAAGAATTTACGTCTTTACGTTAAAGCGTCCTGGTTCCAGTCTCTGATCCGGTGAATTCAACACTTTTCAGACTTTAATCAAATCAAAGTTGATGTTTAGGTGTTGGATTAAATCCTGTTAACTTCTGATTGAAACTTTTACTGTTTTTAATCATAAAAAAGGGTCACACGTAAAAAAGAACCGTTTTAGTCGAACGCAGAGACGTCCTGATCTGATGTCAAGTATCAGGCCGCGGTCCTGATAACGACTTTTGTTTTATTTGATCAGTTTCAGAGTAATCGACCATTTCTGGTTCTATCCACCTTCTTCCTGGGGACCCAAATGATTCTGGTACAACTTCCTGTCGGACAGGAAGTAGCAGTCAGCACTGGTTAACCATGGTAGAGGAGCACGGACCACCGCTTATTTGAAAGAAATTTGCGTTCAGTTTAGCAGATAAAAAAAGATAAATCATCTGTTTTTGTTTTGTTCACATTAATTTAACAAACATAAAGTCTACTAAATAGCTGTGCTGCGTTCAGGTACCTGTTGTGTTCAGGGCTGCAGAACAACCAGACCGAACTAAATCAGCGGCTACAACAACAGAGTCTGAACACGGACCCAGAACAAGAGTTCCTGAGAAAACATAGGCGGCGCAACCGTTATATGTGAAGGGGACAAGTCCCCCCCACATAAAAAAAACATTCATTTAGACCCCCCCCCACACACACACACACACACTTTTACTATGAAACATAGTTCAGGCGGCGCAGTTTCTTTCTTCGTGAACGAATCCATTCCACTTGATTAATAGGAGAATAAACCACTAAAACTCCACTCCAGGTTTTCCTGGTTACCTCCACCTCTAAACACAGCAGCCTGTTGCCACGGTTACAATATACGGTGGTCACAGAATATGGTGTAACACCTGCAATGTTTCTGTGCGTCTCCTCCTGCCTCGGCAGAAAACGCGCACAGGTGGAGGAGGTGGAGACACCTCTGTGTTACTCGTCAGTTTAGCAGCTTAGTGCGGGCAGTTGTTGACCGGGGGGGGAGGGGGGGGGTTGATCATCAACATATATTCATGTTAGGAGGATGTTTGAGAGGAGCTACGTCTGTAGCATGTTAGCTTTGCAGTAACTGTGACGCTGTGAGACTCTGCAGGTGTAAGAGACTCTGTGTGTTCAGGTGCATTAAAGGTGAAATGTGTTTAAACCCCCACACCTTATTGTCCTCAAGCTTCATGACAAACATCATTTACATGAGGAGTGTTGAACACAAGTAAAAGAGTCCAGTGGTGATGATTTTTATTTCTCTATAAACACAAACAGTGTCGACCTGATGCTCTGTGTTAAAGTGTATTAAAGTTAAAATGCCTTTAAACCCACAGATGAATTTACACAAACTTGGAGAGAAACATGTTTTAAATGTGTGGAATTAAAGGAGATCCAGGTGAAATGTTGATTTTTTGTTCACTAGTGAACACCTTTTTTTTACGTGCGCACACACCAACACACATCACTGTGTCCCCCCCACATTAAGGACGCTTCTGACGCCCTTGTGTGAAAAGAGCTATAGTTTCATCTCCCACCTGCAGATGAGGAATTAAGAAGAACGTGTCTGAACAATGTGAACTTGAAGAGAAAACCCAAAACTCTGTATGTGAGCTCATTTCACTTTGTTGACAAACGGCCGACGGAGGAAAACCTGCATCCTACTTTGTGTCTGGACGACAATAAACCACCAGAGAAGAGACGCCAGGACCTCAAAAGGAATGAAAACAGTGACGAGAACATCAGGGATGATTTCAGGTGTATGGAGGTCACAGCTTTATATATTTGTTCATCTTCAGTTTATGATTTTCTCTGTAATGAACCCAAGCTCAGTGATGGAGGACTTTAAGTCTTTGCCTGGACTCTGTGTCTGATTTAAGGTCAATAAGTTTGTGTCCCACCTCTTTTATCAAAACACCACCGACCTTATTACTGTGGAGACACTGATACACCTCAGAGCTTCTCAGGTGGTTCATCGCTTCACCGTCAGAAGGACTGAGTCAATGAAGTAGCTAAATATGCTAGTAGATGTAGCTAAATATGCTAGTATAAG